CTAAATTAAAAAAAAAAGAAAAAAGAAAAAAAAATCACAAACAAATATTTAAATGTTTTTTAACAAAATAAAAATTTATTTTTATATTTAAGCTAAATTGCCTTTGAATTCCTTCAAGCTTGGTTCAGTGAGGTTGCCAGACCCCGCAGCGCTGTTGGTAGTGTTTTGCTGTGCCGTTGCAGCCTGGTGAGGAGCTGGCCCACGCCCCGGCTCTGCCCGCAGGAACTAGCTGTGCTGGGGAAAGGCGGCTATGTCCTGTGGGCTCTGCTGCTCCATGCTCCTCCTGGCCTGTAACAACATCTCCTTAATTTTAAAATGTGATGTATATGGATGTGACTAAACTTTTTTTTTTTTTTTTTAAATTCTTTGTCCAAGGATAAGGAGCAGGAGCTCTTGCACGTTATGGTGACGAGTGGTTTTCTTGTCTGCTAGGAGCAAGGCATCTCTCCCAGCAGGCAGAAGGAGGGCAGGTGACTGGGCTCTGTGTGGCACAGAGAGAACTTGGCCCCTTAGCAAGTGGGGGCAGAGGACTTGCAGGCAGGCACCTGCTGCCAGTGCTGGCGGGCTTTTCTAGCCTTCCCCTACTAGCATGGCTGACCTGTGCAGGAGGAGCCAGCCTGGGCAAACATGTCCTTGGGGTTTGAGAAAGCAGCTGAAAAGGGGTTAGCGTACACGAGGGCTGACCCCAGTGATTCCTTCCTCTGCCCCAGGCAGAGTGCTGAGCCATGAGAATGCCTGCTCCCCAGCCCTCGGGGGTGGCAGTGGCACAAGGCAGGACAGCAGCTCTGGAGGAAACAGAGCCAGGGTTTGGCCAGGTCAGCTCCAGCCAGACCTGTGTGGCAGAGGGAGATGGGGAGAAGCAGGGTACAAGGTGAGGGCACCCTGGGGAGCACTGGCTGTTAGTGCTGCCCCAAGTCACTGCCCCCCCACATAGCTGCCCCATTTAGGTCCCAAGTGCCCAGCCCTGCAAGGAGCCAGACTGTGTCCCTTCCCTGCTGCACAGACCCTGCTGGGAGAGACCCTTGTGCCTGGGCTGCTGTATGTGGCCGGGGAGGCTGGATTTTAAACTCAGACTGAAGACCTGGATCATTCCTGGTGTGGCTGATGAGGATTTTAGTATGAATGTGCAATTTTTTCCTTGCTTCTTATGTCCCTGGTTTAAAATAAAAAGACTGCGTTCGCATCTACCTTGCCCATGTTTGATTTGTGGCCCTGAGCAGGGCCCGGTATTGCTGCTGCAGTACACCCTCTGGCTTGCGTGTCCTTGCTCCCCCTGATCAAAGGCAGGTGCATGGACAGGATTGTTATTTATTATTTCACGCCCCCCGCCCCCACCTCTGCTATGAGCAGTGGCAATTTCAGTGCAAGACTGCACAAACATGCTAGAAAATAGTGAAGAGAGAGAGACTTTAATCTGTTTCACCCCTACAGTCAAAGGCTTTTCTGAAACCCCACATCGGCCTGAGGTAAGGATTTGGGGGGGGGGGCACACAGAACATGGCAAAACAACATCCTTAATCCAGCTGGAGCACTCCAGCCCTGCAGGGTGCAGAAATGGGGGTGTGCTGAACACTGGTGCTGTTTGCAGACATCCCAAGGCTGCCCCAGCCCAGACCTGGCTTTGGGGGCAAACCTGCTGGGGGCTGGCTGTGAGGGCCAGCCCTGGGTGAGCAGTTCCCTCTCCCTAGCAATAGGGTGGCCCCAGGGGTTGGCACTTGGTCCCAGGGGAGCAGGATGTTACAGAATTCCACAATGGCTGCAGCTGGCACAAAGCTTTACTTGTGTTCACAGGCCCCACTATCATTCAGGCAGCAGTTGCAGCAGAGGAGTGTTCTCTGCCAGCCCCAGGTGGACACTGTGCAGTCCTAAAAATGTTATTTCACTCCTTCACCCACTGCTTTTTCCTCTTCCTCTTCTTGGGAGCTACTTCCATTCCCTCACCATGCTGTGAGTTCTCCTCAGCTGCCGCAGGCAGGGAGCTGCAGGTTAAGAGTGAACAGCCTAAGCCATGCACCCAAGGTCCCACTCACCACAATACCACAGCTCCAGCCCTCTCCCTCCCACACCCACTACAGCCAGACTCCTCCATTGTCCCTCCTCCTCACGCCAGGAAGGCAACACCCTCCCCCTGACTTGCCCCTTAGGCAGCCCTAAGCCCAGCCATGGTCCTCCCCAAACCTGCTGAAGGCAGGCAGAGCCCCCCCAGACCC